GGTTTGATTTAATCAAACCAGTTGCTGTATCCATTCTGCTCAGAGGTCCCTCAGTGTCACCTCCGAGGCTCAGATTAGACAGTGACAATTACTTTTTCTTCCCTGGCTATTGCCTCCCCCTCCCTTTGTGTCCCTGGAGGGACTGGGGAGGCAGACCAGTCTCCGGGGACCTAAGAATAGATGCGGAGGATCAAAGGAGGGAAGCAGCTCTGGCCGGAGCAAGCCCCTCTGTGCCTTCGGTGGCCTTGTTTGAGGCTGAGCGACAGCCTGAGGGGTGGGCAGGGTGAGGGGGGGCAGAAAATGGGAGCAGAGCTGCCTGGGGAAGGCTCGAGGCTGCCTGAGGACAGAGCTGTGCCATCATCTGTGCCATCGCCGATGGTCCTCCGCGATAAAACCCATCTCCGTCACTGTCAGGCCCGGGGTGGAGGTGGGCCGGGGGTAAGGTAGCTGTGTGCTCTTCCAGCGCCAAGCGCAAGCCCTCATTTCCAGGTGCTCAGCCTGGATTCCGAGGCCTCTGGGGCCGGGAGACACCACCACCACCACCAAAAAGGCAAGACTCCATCCCTCTGAGTTTCTGGGGCCCTGTCCTTGGCATGACATCAGCAGTGACAGGAGGAGCTGCTGCCTGAACCAGGGGCTCAAGAGAGGCTGCATGGGAGGCTGGCGTGTGTATGTAGGTGCCGGGGAGGAGGGTGACTCGGCTGGGCGGAGGGAGGGTGTTGTGTATTTAAATGCCAATGGCTGCAAAGCAGGCAGGCGGGCTCTCCGGTGCAGAATCCTCAGTCCTCGGGGTTTAGGGAGTTTAGGATTCCAGAATAAATCTCTCCTTTTGCCCTATAAACTCTATGAACTCGTAACCCCTACATGGCCTCTCCTTTCCCAGGAAGTAGGTGCTCGGCACCTCTTTTTTGAGCAGCTCAGGGAAGCGAGACAAAGGCCTCCTGAAGGTGATGGGAATCCTGAAGGTGAAATCCTTTCTGCCTTTTGCTCATTCATGTCACATTCTTCTATCGGGCTGGACAACTGACAGGTGCGCCCCTCCCCGGGCCCCCCTCGGAGTCCCCTCCCTGGCGTTCGTGCCTCCCCCGATAGCCAGCAGACACCGTCACCCTCAGGAGTCGAATATGATTAGTAGAAACCCTCCTGACAGCTCCAAAGAGAATCCCTCAAATGCATATTCTATTGAGTGCACCTCACTACGGCTGACAGCCGCTTTATCAATTAAATTCCACATTCCCAGTCTTCAGAGACGCCACGAAGCTCCCTACGTAATAAATCACAAACCCCAGTTATTGTTAAATGTCCCATCAGTCTCTAATAAAATCCCTGCCAACAGGAGCAGGTTATTTATTATGCTGCCTGGACAGGAATGAATTGGGCCCCGTTCTCACAAGGAGAAGAGCAAACGGGATGCCTTCCTCCCTAAAGACTGAGGCTGTGATATTAAATGGGGCAATTAATCAATGTGGGCTTTGGGCAGCGGGGAGTCTGGTCTGGAGGGGGGGAGGGTGGCCTGGGTTCTTTGCTGGAAGGCAGCCAGGCAAATCGCCATGGCGAGAGTGGCTGCACAGAGCACAGGTCCCCAAATTCCTGTGTGAAAAGGTATCCCCAGGCCATGGGGGCGTGTGGAAATACAGTTCTTTCCACGTTGGGTGGTAGCCCTTTAGGATTAAGCAGGGGGAAGAAGTAATAAGTTCTGTCCAGAAGGCCAGGTATTAATACTCAATAAACTTGATATAACAAGTTTATTTTCAAAAAATATTTTATTTTTAGAGAGAAGGAAAAGGAGGGAGAAAGAAGGGCGAGAAACATGGATGCGTGAAAGAAACATCAGTCAGTTGCTTCTCGCAGGCCCACAATGGGGGAACTGGCCCACAACCCAGGCATGTGCCCTGACTGGGACCCAAACTGGCAACCTTTTGGTCCACAGGATGGTGCTCAATCTGCTGAGCCACATCAGCCAGGGCACAAGTTTATTAATAGTGCTAGTCTATGGAGCAGATGAACTAAATGAAGGATGAATATAGGAGGGAAAGAGACCTTTTGTTGCTTTGAGGGTCAAATGAGAAAAAGTGGCTATAAAAAGTTTGTTCTTTCCCTTCTTTTCACATTTCCCCACAGATCCTCACACCCCGGGTGGGCCCCACCCATGTCTTCATTTATACATTATTTTCTTTCCCTCTGGGCACAGAAACCTCCCCTGCAAAGAAATGAATGGATGGGACCATCTGAACTTCACCATGCCCTCTGAGCCTGAGTCTTACCCCCACTGTTCCAGCCCACAGGAATCTCTTCCTCCCTCTAGCTCCCGGGTACCTGAGGTGAACAAAGCCTTCCCAGAAAAGAAGCTGGGGTCCCACTGTGATTTTACCCTGGGGGAGACAGGCAGAGGGTGGGGGCAGTCAGCAGTCTGACCGGTTTCTGTACGTGTTGCTCCCCCACCTTACCTGGAGATTAAATGGTTGCTTGCCTGTGTGCTTTATCTTTACAGCGCTGAAAACTGTGATCAGCCACAGTATTGCAGTTGTTAGCTGCTGAGGAAAACATTTTATTGATTTGTGTTTTTAGCTATTTCAATACAATTTATTCCCAGTAACATTACTGCAACCTTTGTGTCTATAAAACATCATAACCAACAAATATAAAAACAGAATGCTGATAAAAACTGTAAGTGTTCTTTTCTGGGAAAGGAGTCTTTTTGTTTCTTTTGGTATGAGAGCTGGTTCTTTGAGTTCTACCATGCATTCCTATAAGCATGGAGACCCAGGAGGAACTTTATTTTTTAAAAGATTTTATTTACTTACTTTCAGAGAGAGGGGAAAGGAGGGAGAAAGAGAGGGAGAAAAATATTGATGTGTGAGAGAAATATCCATCAGTTGGCTCTCACATGCCCCCATCTGGGGACCTGGCCACAGTCGAGGCATGTGCCCTGACTGGGAATCGAACTGGCAACCTTTCCGTTTGCAGGCCAGTGCTCAGTCCATTGAGCCACACCAGCCAGGGCCCAGGAGGGATTTTTTTAAGCGAAGAAAGTGTCAGCCACTCCATCCATGTTTATCAGGTCCATGAAGGGCCCAGTGCGGCCTGGGGAGCCTAGGGCGACAAAAAGTCGCTTCTGTGAGAAGCTCATAGTTTATTTAGTATGAGGGACAGACATGTAAACAAGGAACAAGAACATGTCTGGAGCCAGTCTGGAATTATTTGCAGTGTGAAAGGGCAGCCTGGGGTGCGAAATTAAAAAGTTGGTCAACGGAGCAGGAACTGAGGCTAGAACTGAGGCTTGACCTGAAGCTGGACCCAAACAACCTAAGATACCCACTATGAAAAACCCTTCCAGCACCTGTGGGGTGGGTGGTGGGGGGTGAGGAGAAATGTGGCAGGGAGACCTCTCGGGAGGCTGTTGCAATAGTTAGGATGAGGAAGGGACCTGAAATAGGGCAGGTGCTGTGGAGACTAGAGAAGGGGGACGGATGGAACGTTTGGAGACACCATTACCTGCACTCAGTGAAGTGTTAGAGAGGGAGAGGGTAGTGCAGGTGAAGTCAAGAATTCCCAGGTTTGGGACTTGGGGATTGGGTGGGTAAGGGAGGTGGGGCACGAAGAGGGAGCCTGGAACCTCTCCGGACCACCCCCAGCGGTCCCCACTTCTTTCACAGGGACAGTTGCACATTTTCCCCATTGTTTTCTAAATTTCTAAGCAAAATGCGTCTCCAGGACCCCCTTTCAACGAGATTATCATGCCCATAAGCCTTCTACGTGGTTTGGAATTTGGGTCATTGTGTGTTTGTGCTCATGCACCCAATTGAAATATGACAACAGGGATTATGATACAAGGACAAAGGAAAAAGGTGGGGTTGGATGCAGAATTTCTTTAAGTTTGAAATCGTGAATAAGATTAGTTTGCAGAAATGGAATTATGACTTAAACTTTGTTATAGCATGTAATTTATGCAATAAATATTGAGTATTTACTTTGGGTCAGATCATTTCTTTTCCATTGGAGATAACCGCAGACAACAGGATTGCTGTCCTCATAGAGTGGGGCAGACACAAGAAGCACATGTAATACCAGACAGTGATAAGCACCATGCAGGAAAAACAGAGCAGGCAAGAGAACAGAGTGATGGGAAAGGAAGGGGAGCCGACATAATGGAGAGCTAACTTAATAGGGTGTTCAGGAAAGCCTCTTCGAGAAGGTGATGTTTGAGCAGAATCTCGAGTAAGGGAAGGAGGTTAAAAACGAAGTGACCACCCTTCACGGGGGCGGGGCAGAGGGATAGGAGCACACAGAGAAGACATTACATTTGGATGTCTATTAGGCATCTACGTGGAGATGTCGAGAAGATGGATGGATGTTCAAGTCTAGAGCTTAGGAGTGGAGATGAATTTGGAAGGGTCAGCCCTTCTCCTGCCTTCAGTTCCAATTACTTACATTAGAGCTCCCTGTGGGCCAAGTACTGTGCGAGGGGCTGGGACGCAGACATGAAAAAATGGCTTCGGGGACAGAGACCAGAGCACGTGGCCTTGCTCTACGCGGGTTGTGTCTGCCCGCAGAGGCGGCAGCGAGTGAGAACAGGCTAGGGTAGGGTAGGGTGGGGGGAGGTGATCGCGGAGCCAGGGCAGGCTGGCAGGAATCGTGACGCGAAGCGCGCATCACAATGACAGCATTGTGAGGGTGGTGACGCAAGCGCAGGGCCGGATGGACCAGCCCACAGACGGCCGGGAGGCAGGGCGGTGGCTCCACCGTGGCCGCGCGGCGCCCTCTGCAGGCCACAAGGCGGCAGCACAGCGGTACGCTCCCCTTCCCTGTCCTGCTTCCGCCTGCTTCAGGCCACACTTTTTTGGTTGTGGTAGTTATTTCCCGGTCTTCCTAAGCCTCCGACTTCCGTCCCTCCCCACCTCTTCCATGCCGAGCGTGTCGGTGTTTTCGCGGGCGAGTGCTAATAAAGTTTTTTTTCCTTCTCTCTCTCAGGCTCCCCGCCCCGCCTAAAGTACCGCGAGATCTGGTAGCGCGGCTACGATGGCGGCGGCGTTTGAAGCCACAGCGGCCTTAGAGACCAAGGAGACTGCTGTGCCCGCGGAGCATGTGGCCCCACAGGTCTCGGAGCCCGCCTCCGGGCCCATGCGGAGCCTACGGACGGCCCACGACATCAGTGGCCCGCGGACCCGCACGGGGGACGTACTGCTGGCGGAGCCCGCGGACTTCGAGTCGCTGCTGCTGTCGCGGCCGGTGCTGGAGGGGCTGCGAGCGGCCGGCTTTGAGCGGCCCTCGCCCGTGCAGCTGAAGGCCATCCCGCTGGGACGCTGCGGGCTCGGTGAGGGCGAGGACCCCGGAGAGACGGAGGGGGGCCGACGGGCGGTGGCGGTGGGGTCCGGGGGGGGTGGCCCTGGTCGGCCGCCTGTGCGGGGCTCGGCCGGGGGCTCGGCGCCGCACGTGTTGGAGCCTCAGTTCCCTCTTTTGTAAAATAGAGCCTCATTGTTGAGTTTAGAGATAGTTAAGGTTCTCTCCCCACGGACAGGTGGTTCTAAGTTTAAGATAAACGGTAGAGGTTCAGGGGCGAGGCCCGTTTCTGGATATGGCCATGCGTTTTTGAGAGTTAACTAAAAAGGTAGGTGCCAAGTAAGTGGTTTCTGGACACCCTAACAGGTCTGTGATTCATGTTTGGTACCGAAGCATCTTAAGTGAGTGCTATCTAGTGAAGATTTTGTTTTTCTCTGCAGATTTAATTGTTCAAGCAAAGTCTGGCACTGGGAAAACCTGTGTATTCTCCACTATTGCTTTGGATTCTCTTGTTCTTGAAAACTTAAGCACCCAGGTGAGTTTAGCTCAGAGGGAGGACCCAGAGGAGGGGGGTTGTGTGGATTTTATTACAGGTCGGATGAAATACCCACAGAGATAGATGTGAACTTGATGAATGATTGCGTTAAGCCACGTGAAAAGTACAGAAGTAAGGCATGAGGCCCTTGAGTGGGTGTGGATGGGAGCTAGTGTGCATTGTTAGTGTTAGAAGCTTGGAATTTTCTATTATTACTGCATCTTAAAGAGAATGTCATGTGTGTCAATTTCATCATTACTTGAGGATACAGATTGAAATTCTTTTTTACTTGCCGATCAGACGGCGGTGAGATTTAGCGGTTCTCCCCATCCCCGGCGGTGTGGTGCTGTGGCTCCTGCTGGTAACTGCCAGTGGTTCGCAGAGCTCCGTGCATGTGTCATGGGTCTCCTATCTTCTTGCTCCTCTTGGAGTAGGTCTAAGGTGGCCTTACCCAAGTTAACAGGAGATTTGGGTTTGGGGACCATTTCTTCAGTGAAGATTTGTTGAGCCCATAGTATTAATAAACAGTTTGCCAGGCATTGGAAATACAAAGGTGACTCAAGTGTGATCCTCACAGTCCTATCTTGTGATTTAGTAGTTAGGACAGATTGTAAGTCACGCTCTCAGTCATGTATCCCTAATGACGGGTCTTCAACGGTGGGTTTTAATCCAGAAACTCATACTCATGGTCTGTGAAGTTTTTAGAGTCCTACCTCATACCTGCCAAATCCTGGGTGATCCTGCACGCAGGAAATCCTTCTACTTCCCAAGGACCTGGGCTACTCTGCTTGTGAATGGAGATGTATTTCAGATACTGGCTTCTGATAATTTGGCAGCTAGGCAAATGCCAAAACCCTGAATAGGTTCCATAAATGAAGTCGGTATTTTTTAAATTTAAGATCTTTGTGTTATCGAAGTAACACGTATTCATTTTTGAAAATTGGGAAAATTCAGAAAAATTAAGAAGGACCAGAAAACAAAGTGCAATCTCACCTACCCAGGGAAAAACTGCTGTTAACAGTTTTGGCATAGTTTCTCCTAGTCTTATTTTTTAAGTCGTTTCTTCTTTTCATTGTGGAGACCAGGCTGGTTCCCCTCCTCCTCCAGTAGTTTTACTGCTTGCAGTGTCCTCCTTGTGAATCTCAAGGCCTTTCCTGACCTGCCCCCTGGAGCCAGCTCTCTGACCTTTCCCTGTAATTCTGTCCAGCCACGTGGGCCCTCAGACACACCTAAGACACTGCTGTCTAAGGTCTTTGTATTTGCTGTCCCCTCTTCCTGAACATATTTCCTGAGTGTCACACAGCTGGCTTTACTCTGGGATGTACATTTGGGTGTCTGCTCAAAGGTTAGAGGGACCTTCTTTGATTGCCCCATTTAAAGTGACTCCTTTCCTCCTTTTGTTGCTTCTTCCTCTCTTCCCTGTTTGATTTTTCTTCATAGCACTTTTTGTTTCCTGCCATTATTTATGTTTGTTTATTTTATATCTTCCTCTCATTCAAGAATGAATGTGTCATTAGAGCAAGGCAAGGATTTTGTACTGTTAACTGTTCACTCCACAGCAACTGGTGTGTTGCCTAACACATAGTAGGTTCTTATTTAATATTTGTTGAATGAATAAAGTGATCAAAGGAAAAATAGTTCACGATACAACGTACCACTCACGTATTTATTTTGCTGACTCATTAGTGTATTTTTCATTTTCTTAGATTTTGGTCTTGGCTCCTACAAGAGAAATTGCTGTACAGATACATTCTGTTATCACAGCTATTGGAATAAGAATGGAAGGCTTAGAGTGTCATGTCTTTATTGGAGGGACTCCATTATCTCAAGACAAGATCAGACTTAAAAAGTGTCATATCGCTGTTGGATCTCCAGGTAAGACACCGATGCCTGTTCATAACGGGAGCTTTTAGGAACTGACCATTTTTAATATAACAATAACATTGGACTTTTTGATAATTGTGATCATTATTTTGAGGATTATAAATGCAGAGCCTTAGACCCATGAGAAGCAGACCACGTGACTGGAGCACTAACAGAATTGTGAACTCCCCCTTCCTGTGCACGTTTGAGAGCACCCACGGGCCGGGCCTCTGAGGAGAGGAGGGACGAGATGGCTTGCAGGAAACCCTGCTGAGCCGAGGATTAGGGTTATTCTGGGCTTTAGTCGTTCAGTCATGAATCCCTCAGGATCAGAAGCCAGCACGCAGTGCTGTGGCCATTCGTGCCTTTTGATAGGAACAGTGTATTTTCCATACCTATTGGTGATAAAGTCTGAGGGGAGGATAGTGGGTGTAGGCAAGGCCAGGACTCACAGTTTCTACTTTGTGGTTCGGTGCGTAAACGAAGGCGGACTGGGTCTGCCAAGTCAGCAGTGCCGCCTCTAAATACGATGACATTGGCTGAGACTTGCACGGATTTGGTGCATCATAAATATTTCATTTTTTTTCCTTTAAATTTAGGCAGAATTAAACAACTGATAGAGCTTGATTACTTGAACCCAGGCAGTATACGTCTCTTTATTTTGGATGAAGCGGATAAGCTTTTAGAAGAAGGCAGCTTCCAGGAGCAAATAAAGTAAGAAAAACACCCAACTTGACTATTAAAATGGTGCCCCGAATTGTGTGTCTTTAGCTTTTCTGGGTGGTGAGAACTCTCGGAATAGTTTCCATGGCGTTGTTTTTCTTCTGTTTTGTAGTTGGATTTATTCTTCCTTGCCTGCCAGTAAGCAGATGGTGGCCGTATCAGCTACTTACCCTGAATTTTTGGCTAATGCTTTGGCAAGGTACATGAGAGATCCCACTTTTGTAAGACTAAACTCCAGTGACCCAAGTCTCATAGGTGTGTATCAATGTTGGATACTTATATTACTAGTCTGGGGTATTCGGGAGCTTTCCCTGGCCTGTTTGCCTGTAGCTTTCATGTGTGCTATTGGGAGATGGCAAGTATGTTTGTTTTAACAGAAGACTCTTCTCCATAGGTTTGAAGCAGTATTACAAAGTTGTTAATTCGTACCCTTTGGCCCACAAGATTTTTGAGGAAAAGGCTCAGCATTTACAGGAACTGTTCAGCAGAATTCCATTTAATCAAGCCTTAGTCTTTTCTAATTTGCACAGCAGGTAATGTACCTTAAAAGGTCGTCTGGGGGGACCTTGAGAGATGAAAGGGCAGGCATGGGGCAGTGTCTGTAAAATCATAACCCTGTGTTATTTTTCGTAGAGCGAAGCATTTGGCTGATATCCTTTCTTCTAAAGGCTTTCCTGCAGAGTGCATTTCAGGTAAGTGCATCTGACTTCAACCTTTGTTTAGTGCCCTGACCTGAAGCCTGTCTCAGGTCACGAGGAAGAACTGCCACTTCATGAGTTGTCCTGTGAGTGTGAGGTTATGCTGAGTCTTCAGAGTAAAGAAAATTTCAGGTTCATTTTTCATTGGGATTTGATGTATTAGTATCCCTGTTTTATTAAGCAGTAACTTAGTGTGTGATAAAAAAAAAATTAGAAAACTGGACTTAATGTCTGCAAAGTTTGTTTTTGTCATCTTAGGAGAAAAATATGTTGCTTCTTGACATAATCATTGTTAAAATGTTAATTGTTATTTGAACTGACTGTTTTATGGTCTTGTGGGAGGCAAAAGTGACTCATTTTCACACAAAGCCAAATTATTACTTCTGGCCTAGTAGGAATAAAAGCTTTCAAGGAACTTTTGATCAGTGAGATCCTCTTTAGAGTTTTGATTGATATCTCAGCTTCGTCTTCAGCCTCTTGGCCTGGTATAGCATGAGATAGTGGAAGACATTTTTTGTGGACTAATATTTTGACTGTAGATCACACTTCAATGCCAAATTTATAAACAGCTGATTAAAGCATTCATTTTCCTAAGAACTGCTATATTTCATATATAATTTTGCAAATACAATGTTGTATCTGTAGGCATAACCTAGTCACCATTTAAAATTGATTTTTGAATTTCAAGTCGATTGCCTAACTGTATTTTAAAAGATTGTGACTGTAGGTCTTAACCTAGATTTACATATTAGGACAGCGTTACCTTTGGTTTGTATATTTTTAAGTTATTAAGACTGGGACTTACGATCCCTGCTTTTTGTGGATTTAATAAATGTTCATTTGGGTCTCTATAGGCAACATGAATCAGAATCAGCGTCTTGATGCTATGGCTAAACTGAAGCAGTTTCATTGCAGAGTCCTCATCTCCACAGATTTGGTAAATTTCCTCTTCAGTTTGGGTGACTAATCCCTCTTAACATATGTTCTGTAATCAGATGTACAGATTTCATCTGTTGCTTTATGTGGGTATATCTGACAAGAATACCAGAAGATAATCGTCTTTCCAGTGCTAGGGAATATACTTTCTTAAACATGTCGTTAATATTTTCATCTTTGTATTTGAAAGTAGTCATAGAAATGTATTTCCTTTTCCTTTCCTCCTAAACATCCTCTTTCCTCCTAAACATCTTCCTGTTCTTTATTTGGCTCTTGGTTATACTAGAATGAGGGGGGTGCACGTCGGTAGAATAAGATAGTGCACGTTGGTAGTATATGATAGTGCAGATTGGTATCATGCTGTAGCTCATGTAGACAAACAGTCGCTCTCTTTTTCAATTCAAGGCTTCCCGTGGGATCGATGCTGAGAAGGTGAATCTGGTGGTAAATCTGGATGTGCCGTTGGATTGGGAGACATATATGCATCGGATTGGCAGAGCTGGCCGTTTCGGTAAAAAGAAAAACTTGAGTGCTTTGTTTAGGGGGAGGATCTGTGATGTGACAGGTGGACTTGGAGTGTCATTTGTGTGAAAATGATTTGCTACTTAGCCTTCCCTGTGTGCTTTAGGGACTTTGGGCCTGGCGGTGACCTACAGCTGTCGGGGAGAAGAAGAAAATACGCTGATGAAAATTGCCCAGAAATGTAATATCAACCTCCTGCCTTTACCAGGTATATTTCGTCTGTTTCATTTTGCTGTCAGATTAATAATGGTGATGATGACAGGCCTACTAAAAATAAAAGTCTAACACAGGACTGTTACGATGTCTCAGGTGTGACCCCAAGGACTTTGTTTGCTGACTCATTTAATCCCTACCACCGTCCTGTGAGGGATGTGCCGTGATTGTCTGTTTTGTAGGTGAGGATACTGAGGCAGAGAGAGGTTAGGTGACTTGCCTAAGGCCTTAGAGCAAGTAAGCAGCGGGGAGAAGACTGCCCGCTAACTACTGGCATGTGAAAAGTGAAACATGCTTTACTACTGTTAGCTTCCCTTTTTAGTTCGTAGCCTCACAGTTTGAATTTATTCTTCTTTAAAAGTAGAGATATTTTACAGCTTATGTTACTATAAAGGTAATTCTTCTCATGTTCTCCTTTGTCACCAAGGGAAAGGAAAAGTATTTGTAATTTGACTACTGTTTTGAACATTTTTAAGTGTTTACTTTTGATTTTAGTGAATCATTTGTCATCCTGCTCTTTGTAAGTGAAGTCTTGGAAACTGTGTTTGAAACTATTAATGATTTCTTGAAAACAAAAGAACCCTAAAAAATCTCTTGTGTGGAAATACAGTTTATTTGCTTTATGTGCTAACTTAAGCATGTTAGTGTATATATCTGTCTATGTATACTCACATAGTATACGTATGATCTTCTAGGATATAGGATATGTAGTTATTGAATTATAAGAACGAATATTTTACCAGTTTATATCTAAGCCCTTTAGTGATTTTTTAAAAAGATTTTATTTATTTTTAGAGAGAGGGGAAGGGAGGGAGAAGGAGGGAAAGAAACATTGATGTGAGAGATTGGCTGCCTCCTGAATGTGCCCTGACCCGGGACCAGCCCCTCAACCCAGACTTGGGCCCTGACCGGAAATTGAACCGGCGACCTTTCGCTAGTTAGTGGGACGACCGCCAACCAACTGAGCCACACTGGTCAGGACACTCCTTTAGTGATTTTTTACAAAGCTGGATTAGGCACAGGTCTAGGAGTTCCTGTGGATTCTAATAGCTTGTAATAACTCATTTTGTGGTCTTTTTACAGATTTCTTTAATTGCTCTAAGCTTATGTCCTGATTTACAAAATACTTGTTTTCTGAAATCATGCAGAAAGTACTGATCTAGAGCAGCTCAAGACTTAATGTTTTTGATTCCTTTCTTGCAGACCCCGTTCCTCCTGGCCTTATGGAAGAATGTTCGGATTGGGATGTGGAGGTTACAGCGGCTGTGCACACGTACAGCTTAGCAGGCGCACCCGGCCAGACGCTAAAAAAGCAAATTCAAAAAATGGAAAGAGCCCCTCAGACCCCGAAAGCTCATGGTAACCATGTGGCTTCTTGTAGAAACACTTCCGTCTCTGCATTATCAGCCAAGTCAAAAATCACCACCAAACAGAAGCTCCCTGTGAAAAGCCACTCAGAGTGCGGACTCCTGGAAAACGCAGCGTCACCCCAGGCCCCGGGCCGCGCCGTGCAGGTGGAGGGGCAAATGAAGAACTCTGTTGAGAGCCCAGCTGAAAACTCGAACAGTGGTCAGCACCCGGTCAAAGAAGAGTCGCCAGTGTCACTCCCCCAGATTCCCTGTCTGTCTGCCTTCAAAATCCACCTGCCATGCACGTGGACTTTCGCAGAATTGGTAGAGGATTATGAACACTATATTAAGGAGGGGTTAGAGAAACCTGTGGAAATCATCAGGCACTACACAGGTCCTGGGGATCAGGCCGCGAATCCTCAAAATGGTTTTGTGAGAAGTCGGATTCCCGAAGAAAGAGTCCGGGTGCTGGTAAGTAGTAGCCAGTCTGGGAACTCTGAGAGTGACAGCGATTCTTACAGCTCACGGACTTCTTCCCAGAGCAAAGGAAGTAAGTCCTGCGTGGAAGGCTCTTCTGGTATTCAGCTGAAAGACTTGGAGTCTACCCCCGTGGATGGCCGTATCTCTTTGGAACAGCCTCTGAATGGAAATGACGCCCCTAATCTAAGAGAGCATCAAGGAGCACCTGAAATCCAGGTGAAGGCAAGGCATAAAGAGGGGGCCAAACAGAGAGTGAAGCAGGGCCGAAGAGACGCAGCTAGGCGGCCCTCCTATCGGTTGCAGGCAGAGCCCCGGGAAGATGAGTGGTCTGACGGCCGTGGGGCAACCCACGTGGGTTTTCCTGGTGCCTGTCAGGGTTATGAAGAGTATTGGAAGGCCTACTACAGGGCGTGGCACGAATACTATGCTGCTGCTTCGCAGTCGTATTACTGGAATGCTCAGAGGCACCCGGGTTGGATGGCGGCCTATCACATGAATACCGTTTATCTGCAAGAAATGATGCGTGGCCATCAGTGATGATGGGCCGTACCTCAGACCCCCTGAAGTACCAGTGAGCCAGACCTGTGGGTAGCCATCCTCCTTGACCTATAGGAGAGGGGCGCATAGTGGCATTTTTGAGGAACTTGAAGTCTCAAGTCTTTTTGCGTGGATACCGCTATTTTTCCGATTGTTTTGACCTACCAGGTATATTACCTATTTTTAAGAAACTTAATGGGTCAGATTCTTAAGAGAAATATTTTGGGACAAAGAGCTAAAAATGCCGGGGTGCCATCTTCTATAAGCTGTTCCAAAAGGAAACATTTGAAAAGACATATTACTGCTTACTTAAAAAAATAAAAACAGGTGAGATTTGAAAAACGCTAGCTTATGCTACGGAGTTCTTTACAAAAGGCTTGGGCATTTTCATTGAGGTACGTCTGTTCTTGTAGAAATTCATAACATGGTGGGTCAGAAAATCCCCCTTTTAGGATTATGCAGGAAGGAGTAAACATTGCTTCAGACTGTCCCAAAGATACTTGATTTGATGCTCTTTGCTTCCAGTAAAAATATTCATTACCAGTAAAAATACCAACTTAGCCACATGTATGAACAAATTGTTCATCTTTCGATGGCTTTGTTTCTGAGATGGTGAGGGCCGTCCCCTCTTTCCCAGTGCAGTAAAAAGCTAAGCCTCAGTGGCAGCTGTTTCTGTTTCTCAGAAAGAGGAGCAGCTCTTAACTTTTCTTAGTTTTTGGATCTTTTTATGCATCTGATGAAAGTTGTAGATTCGTCCCAGAAAATGTCTCATCTGTAAACAAGAACTGGATCTGTGATTTCCGGGGGTTTTTAGAGCCTCTGAGCCCACTGAGGAGCCCAGGTTAAGAGCTCCCCTACACGCTTCTGGGCTAAGAAAGGTTCTGGCTCTTTGTGTTAAGTATTTGGTGGAAACTGGAACTCATTCTGTTCAGACTCTTCCCATTGTGTGTCCTGATCATGTGTGTCCTAGAGACTTTTCCCCAGATTTTACGTGTAATTCTGGAGTCCTAGGGGGACAGGTGTTTTTCTGAGATGGTGTTACCTATGATTTAGAAATAAGTAATTGGAAGTTACTCTTTCATTCCCTGTGGCAGTCCTTTCATGATTACACGTTTGGTTCCCAGACCTTTCTGTGAGCTGCATTTGTGGCGAGAGAATCCCTTATTTATGGAGTCATGTGTTTAGTTTTGAAAAGGAAAGCTCTTTCCTGTGTGTGTACTGGTCTCGGCAGTGTAATCATCGTCCCTCAGGGCTGTGAGCAAACATCCCAGGCCATTGCCATTCTCTCTCCAGCACTCACATACCCAGTCCTAAACTTCTGTTTAACTTGGATTCCTGTTGTTTGGGATGGCCAGTGGTAGGGTTTACTTGTACTTGATCAGTATTGCCAAATTAGAATGAATTAATTAATACTAAATAGCAAATCCACAATTAGGTCCAGTAGGTCATTAAGAAGTAGAGACTTTAATTACTCATTTAAATAAAATCCTGTCATTGCTGTATAATTGAACATGCCTCTCTTTTTCTACCCTTTTACCCTCAGTGTACCAAGTTTAGTTTGTCATTGGTAGGGGATTTTAATTAGGATACTGCTGCATCTTAATTAGAAATGAGGTTACCCATTAGTCTTGAAATTAATTGGATTCTCTTTTTAGGTTTGTCATATTTTGTGTTTGCTCTTTTTTTTTAATAGAAAAGTAAGCTGGAGGTGAGCATATGCATAACATGAAAATACTAATAATTTCATTTTCCATAAGCATTTGCCAGGAAAATTGTAGCCGTAACCTCCCTCAGCGAGGGACGCAGGTGTGGTGGTGACTGGGGCAGGGATTTATTTGCTTGTGGAAAAGACTGTTTGGTTTACAGTTGTTGGTCTAGGAGCACGTCCCTGCAATCTGTTAGGAACTGTAGACAGGTTTTAGGTAAATTCACCTGAGAATGCTTTGGGGTGTAGTGGAGAGAGTGTTTGTCCTGGCGCTGCCTTCTCTTTCACCTTGTACCGGTCGTTGAGCCTCTCAGGATCCAGAGTGCTTCTCATCAATAAAGTGAAGGAGATGGACTAAGAGGCTTCTACTGGCCCTTCCCTGTTCTAAGATTTAGTTACTGCGTTACTAGTAAGAGAGAATACTTTGTGGCCAGGGGAAAGGCTGGTTATTTTATGAACATAGGGTCTTTTATAGATTCTATATAAACTTGTGTGCACGGGCTAATGTCTGAATGCTGGAGTGCGAGATGTGTGCACCGGCAGCCATTAGTCACTTACAGAGGGCGGGGTGGTAACTGTGGAGGGGTCGTGGGGGAACCTGCTGCTGTGGATAATTCTGACTTAGAAATAGATTGTAAACTCTGATTTGGGGTAATTTTAAAGCATCGTTTTCTAAAGTAGCTTAAGTATTTCAGTACAGTTTACTAACCTTTTAAAAACACGTGGCTTAAAGGTAAACTTCAGTCCCTAAATACTAAAAAAAAATCTGAAGAGGAATTCCAGTACTCGGGGATCAACTTGTATGAGACAAGGGACTAGTTTGAAGTTTTTAGGTTTTTTTTTCCCTCCCCCTAAATGTATATAAACCTGTTAAAATCTTAAAAAAGAAAATATTTTTGATAGTCACAGCTGGCCTTGGGAACTCAATGACAGGATCTCTTGGCTCTCCTGCGTGTGTTGACGGTTTTGTGCCCCTGAACTAGCACATGTCTCAGTTAAGGCTGCTGTGCGTTTCTGAAAAGAGCCCATCTGGGTTCCAGTTACGTTTCTCCAGATCATTTGAGCTGTGGATCTGTAGTGACACCTAGTGGGTAATCAAGGTAAGAGCACCTGGGATTGGAATGAATTTCACAGCCAACCTCTCTGGCCTTTGGGCGGCACGCGTGTGCCCTAAGGTTCCATTTCCACAATAGTTCTGTTTGGGATCTGGTTGTTGTGGGGAAGTTAAAAGGATTCCTGTTGTTACCATATGAAGGTGACCTGAAAATGCCTGTTGCCCTCACTACCTGAATCAAAATTACTAAGGTTACAGCAGATCTTCAAGATATCTCATCCAGTTCCCCCATATTTAAGATGAAGCAGCTGAAGATGAGAGCAAAGTGACTGCCGTGGAGCCGTGCACGTAAGTGATGGAGCCTAAACTTGAGTCTCTCTTATCTGGTCCCCGAGCTTTCTGCTCTACCCTCTACAGTCTTTAAGTTTGGGTTTCCTTTTCAGTTTGCGACCTTGGCTTAGCTGAGGGAGTGCAGTGTATTCAGTGTACTCTTGGCAGAGCCAGTGCTGATACAGAAAGGCAGGACTTCTTTCACTAATACAGGGCTGGGCCCCAACGTAGAGCTGTTGACAAGCAATCAAATGTCCTGTCCGTGAGCATCACGACACAAGCGTGCGGGCAGGTGGGAATGGTCATGGATGTTGGAGGGGCTGCCCTTGCTGAGGGCAGGCGCAGAGGGAGGGTTAGACTAGACTCTTAAGCACCCTTCTGAGATTGTATGACTTTTTAAAAATTGTCTTTTCAATTACAGTTGACATACAATATTATATTAGCTTCAGGAGCTGTGACTATTTTCTAGCAAGGTTGAAAGCCTCCCTTTGTTCAACTTACCCTTATTTTTAGTGTATAGCAGGAGAATTGGTATTAAAATAAACAATCATTTTAGGGTTTGTGGCACATAGTTTAATCCAGATTGGATACATCCGGTACAGCAGTGGCACGTGACTCAATACTGTAAATGATACACGTTTTAACATACGCACTACAGTTTCAAAAAAAGACGACAGGAAACTCGAGAGTTTTTTTTTTTTCCCCATAGAAAGTTTGCACATTTATCTTCCTGCAGTTTTGTACAGTATTTCTTCTTTGCCATTTTGATGTTGGTAAGCAAAGCCCATTTATTATATGAAAATAGAAAAGAACACACTTGATGTTTTTCACGATAACATGAGTGGGGGAGTGACCTCTAAGGAAAACATTACATTGGAATGTCTGGTTATCAAAAATATACCATCCCTCCCACCTCCCAGGTTTGTAAAATAGTCCGTTGGTCCAAGGAGCCCCCCAGGATTTGGGTCAGTGCCCTACACTGGTTAGAGTTGACAGCATCCAGTGTAGATAAGTAACCTGCTAAGATAAATGTCATTCCCACACTTGATGAGAAAAAACAGAACACTCTGAATAGAAAACAAGACTCAAAAGGAACCTCTTTAAAGCTGTTTCTCTTGCTGACAACCACTCTCCGTTAGTTCTAATGATGCTCTTTGTGATGCTGTTTGGGCTCCAAGGCTCATGGTCATAACAATGTTCTTCCTTCGTCCAGTCGTTTTAAAGCTTTGCAAATGATGAGATCTCATGAGGAAATCAGAAAGGGAAAGTAAAAGTATTCCAGGTTCTCGTTTGTTGTGGTTACCATGCCAACTAGTTTAGAAGAGAAACTCATATTGCCTTAGTAACCTTAAGATCCCAGCATTGGGACCTTTCTGCCTTGTAGTCCTTGGTCACGGGAGGGAGGGCGTCTGGACCACCGGAATTCATTAATAACCTCAATCTAAGTTTAGCTCAATTTTGATGACTACCTCAGCAGTTTAAAAAGAAAAAAGGAAAAAATCCAGGTACATGTTTCAATGTACACTTTCCCTGCCTATATTCTAATAAGTGACATGATCCTGAACTGTAGGAATCATGGTTTAAAAACTGGGCTAGGTCCTTAGCATGTCCACGAGTTGACTTTTTGTTAATACAGATCAGCATGAACTGTCCACTTTAATTTCTGTTCAAATCCTTTTTCTTAATTTCACTTTTCTATTTGCTGGTCTTACACTCCTGTCTGGTTGTAGACTAATGTGTTTGACTGTCATTGAGAATATCTGGCCTTTTGAACAGGATTCTATGCAGTTAGTCCTGAGCTCGACACTAGTTATGAAAAGAGGAGACGAAAGGGCAATAGTCCAGAGTTTGCTCGTGGGGGTCCTGGCTCGGGTGGTCCTGAACGGAGTGCTTCCTCACCCTCAGCCACACCCTTGACATCCAGGTATTGACATAGGAGCAAGTCTCGGAGTAACACAACGTGACGTGGAGCGGAAACCCCAGGACACGCCGTCTAAGCCCTGGGTCATAGTTCTGCCCTGTGGACTTCGAGAAGTCACTCAGCTTCCTCTCTGCTTCCTGCCTGCTTCCTCTTTGTCAGTCAAGGATTTAGTTTCTTGACCTACTACCACCAGAGGTCATAATAAGGATCAAAAGGACTACAGAAGGTATTCTTTGAAATGTCATCCAAGCCTTCTCTTCATTGAGAGACCAGGTTGACAGACAACCTGACTGTTCACTTGTTCATGAATTGTTGACAACAGTTGACGGTCTAAAGCCGGTTCTATGCAGAGGATGGCTTGTAGTGTCACAGCCAGGTGGCTTCCGAGGGCTGTGTCCAAGCAGTACTGACACTGACGCAAGATTGGGTGTCTAGTTACAGCGTGTATTCTT